GCTTAAAAACGTCTAAAATTCAAATCCCACGTGTATACCATGAATGTATGCTTTGGCTTAAGGATTAGTTTTAAGTTGTAGTNAAATATTTTATTTTATTCTTCAAAAATTTCACTGTATATCCTTGAAATATGTATAAAAATATTCTTTAAGATTTGAAATAATTGATAAAGTATTTTTTTTAATCTTAAAAACGTCTAAAATTCAAATCCCACGTGTATACCATGAATGTATGCTTTGGCTTAAGGATTAGTTTTAAGTTGTAGTGGGAAGCTATGCAGGCTCTGGTGATCCGTTCTAATAAGCTGTTGTTACGACTTGGCGTCATAGCCGCAGAACGAACAGTCTAGTGAGGGCCACTGGTTTATGAAGTCACCAATTTCTGCTGGATATTCTCTCCTAGGTACAATACTTATCTCATTCCCGAATCATTTTCACTTCCTTTATAACCTTACTGTCACGATACATCCAACATTAGAGCGTCAGTACACTACTACTTTAATCACATTCCCATATTGCAGGATGTCCCCAAATTAACTCAAGATTTAAATTTACCGTCAGTCATTTAATAAAGTGTTGACAACCCCAAAACAAAACAAATAATAAATCGACAAAAATGGAGCGTTACATGACAGAATAACGAGCCTTCATTATTGAACAATATACGGGGCGCTCCATCTTTTATTTCGGTATATAAACATTGAATAACTTTGAGAAAAAAAACAACTGATTTCTATAAGTTTCAAGTTGGTTCCCTAAAATTTTTTTGGACAAAAAATTGTATGATCTACAAACTAAAATATTTGGAAGTATGTACGGGCTGAAATGTATTTCTGAAGCTACCATAAAAATTTCAGATTAATCGATGCAATGGGTCCGAATAATCTGTCTTCGCTGTTTGAAAAATGAGATGTTGAGAAAAACGCGTTTAAAGTTTTCTTTATACTCAGCTATTTGTAATATTTTTTTTTTCACTTTAAAACTATTTGCATATAATTTATAAGATCCGGTGAACGTAAAAAATTGCGATTTCAAAAATCCTAGAGTGGCTTTATTGCTTTATTTGTTTTTTCTCTCTGATTTGTTTATTCGATCAATTAGTGCTTTCAGCCGAGGGGCGACCGTAATTAGAAAATTTAACTTGATTTTTTATTTAATTTAATTAAAAATTTAAATTCAAATTTAATTTTTTTCCCGAGGGCGCGTTTTTTCAAATATATATTTTTATTATATCAAGCAACTTTTACATTAGTGGTAGATATTTTGTTAAAAAAAAAAAGTTATTAATTAATTATTATTATTTATTTAAATTAAATATTAGTATAATATTATATATAATAAGAAATATTAATATTTTATTATTATTATTAAGTATTAATTAGTGTATTAATTTTTAAAAGTTATTATTACTTAATTAAATTAATTATTGAATATAACTTTTTAGTAATTAAATCAGTTTGTATTAAAAATAGTTATATATATAATTACAACAAATTTAGTTATACAATTAGTTACTAATATTTATTAAATAATAAAATTTTTTATATTAAATATAATTACTTGATTATTAATTAAATTAATGTTAATAATAAATATTTACAAAATTAAATTATATGTAATTATAATATAACTAAATAATATAAATGATATTGATTGAAATAAAATAATAACAATTGAAAATTTTGGTTAATTTTTTATTTTAATTAATTTTCTATAATTTTTCGATGTTGGTCGCAGAAGGATTTAAACCTGGCTTTCCGCGGCTGCGTTTATAAAATATATATTTTATTATATCGAGCTACTTTTATATTGGTGGAAGATATTTTTTTAAGAAATAATAATTGTTAATTATAAAATGTTGTAAAACTAAAAAAAATAATCATTAATTAATTATTATAATTTAAATTAATTAAATATTTGTATAACTATGTAATATTATTAATTAACAACTATTATAATTCATTTAATTAACTACTATTATTAAATAAAATTAGTTAGTAATTAAATCAGTTTATATTAAAAATAATTATGTATATAATATAAAAAATTTAATTGGATAAATAATTATTAATTTCATTAATTATAATTATAATCTTAATTAAACTAAATAATAATAAATAATTAATAAATAGTATTAATTATAATTTCGGCGGTAGATTACACTTTTAAAAATAACATATTAAAATTTTAAATCGATATCACGAATAGTTTTTGAGTTATAGCAATTTAAAGAGCAGCCACTCGGCAGCTAGAGAGTCTCATTAGCTACGAGTGAAAACGATCATTTTATTTTTAGACGCGTTTTTCTCGAAACAGCATTTTCCTAATTTGCTACAGTGATTACTCAAAAACAAATGATCCGATCACTATCGAATTTTTTGTACATGTTTTATATATAGTTCTCCGTACAATAACCTATCGATTTTTGATCTGAGCAAAAACGATCAAAATTGTGGGTAAAATTCGACTATTTTTTTTTTAAAAGACCGTAATATAGTCAGTTTTTGATTTTTTTTATCGTAGGTCATTGTACAGACAATATTATCTGTTGTAGTAGAGAATTTTTTTTTAGATTTCATGCCGGAATCCCTGCAGAAGTGAAGGTCCTTTTTTCGCGCCATTGAAGATGGACTATAACTTAAAAAATATTTTATTTTATTCTTCAAAAATTTCACTGTATATCCTTGAAATATGTATAAAAATATTCTTTAAGATTTGAAATAATTGATAAAGTATTTTTTTTAATAAAAATTCCCAAAAATCACATTGTTCTTAAAAAGACGGCTAGGCCGGCATGCTGCCTGAAAATATTAAACTCAGACTTAATTACCGCTAAAAGCGCCATTCTGTTGCACTAGCGTTTAACCTTAATATATTTGCTATCAAGACTCATTGCTGCTTACGTAGAAAACTAACAAATATCGTTACTTTAATGTTTTCAGTTTCTCAAATCTAAAGAGAATCTGCCTCTAAAAATGTCTTTCGAAATAATTTATAAAAAAAATTAACAATTTTTAGCACAAATTCCGTGGAGTGTAATTTTAAAAGAAATTAAAATGTATATAGATATATACATATATATGTTTGACCAACAGATGAAGAATCTGAATGTTTTTAAAAGCCAAGGGGCGTTAGTGATTTCTCCGATATTAGGGAAGATGATTTCTACAGTAGCAAGTCAAGTATGCCCGCTTGATCCTTGCGGAAAACTTACTAAACAATGTAATATTCNTAGTAGTTATTATATTTATTATTTCTTGATCTAATGAAAACGCAAGGGCATATTATTCAACTAATACTGAGGAGTTAAAAAGATGCCGCGATAACCCATTTATGAAAGATATAAAAATTGCATATCAGTTACATTTGAAACTCGCTGCTTTGCATTCTAAAAAGGTATAATTTGCACGTAGATCAATATTTGTATTGAAATGTCATTAACTACAAATCAACACACATATGCATAGGATATATGAGGGTTCGTGAATATTCCGTGCCAATTGAAGTTTTTTTTTTTATTTTTGTCTGTTGAACAGTAGAAAAAATTATACTCATAAAGCAATTGACACGTTACAATAAAAGCGATGGCTTATCAAATTATATTATCGCCTCCAAGTGATTACCAAACATTAAACCCACAAAACAAGCAAGTAGAAATTTATGTGTGTTTGAACCCACTGAAAACCATAAAGAAATAACTACTCAAATGCGCAATTTATGAGAATACAAAAAGCAAATGCAGATACATACATACATAATAATCGTCCAAAATGCGAGAGCAGAAAAACTCTTGAAGCGTATGAAATGCAAAATGGAAAGCAATACAAAGAAAAATGAACTAAAAATTGCGCATCCAAGAGCCACAACTGAAGAGGAAGCCCCATGCGGTAACAAGCGTAGGAACAATGCAACGCCACGAACAACGAATTAAACATATTGAAACACGAAAAGTGCAGTAAGTAGCAACGCAATAACACTTTTGAATGCGTTTTTAATTCAATTACCCTTGCGTTGAAAAATCAAAAAAAAATTAATAAATAAAAAGAAAAATTTAAAAAACATAAATCGAAAGAAGAAGGTAAAAAAGGTACAAAAAGTTGGAAAACTAAAGCAAATTAGCGAATATGCAAACAAACAAACAAAAAAAAACACAACAAAGGCACAAGATAGGAACATATATATAATATTACACGTCCGAAAAGTGTGTTTGATGGCGTTCGTACGCTTAACGCTGCAACTTGTAATAAGAAACAATAATAACAAAAACGATAAAAAGTAATTGTAGTAAGTATGCAATAGACTTGGAGTAGCAACAAAACCAAACAATAACAACTGTTTGCTTGCAACTTATGCGTAATTGTTGTTGTTGTTGTTGTTGTTTTGCATGTAACCAAAGTTGCATGCGTACATTCATTTCAGCCAAGACACACACACTCATACTCGAAAATACACATGCACTCGAAGCGGAGCTTTATATGCCTGTGTGTATGTCATATTGCCAGCCAAGTTGCTCTTCCACTTGTTTTTGTTATTATATTTTCCAGTTTTGTTATTGCTATTACGGCAGTTTTACTTTTCATGCTAATAAAAATATACACGTCGTTTTTTTTGTAGTTGCTGTTGCTATTTTTATTTGCACTATTGTATGCATGTTTGTATGTATGCATGTTTGTACGTATGTATGTATGTATATATGTAGCGTGTGTGGCTATATTTTTGCATGTCTTACGCTGGCTTTCATGCCGCTCTACTTCTTCTTCGTCGCCATCCACTTCGCATGCAGACACTACCATCATTACCATCACTAGCACATAGACACATCACATACATGCATACATACACACATGCATGCGCGCATACAGATATGTGAGTGCGGCGGCTCATGGTATTACAGCAGCTTTTTCGGCAACTCCATCGGCAACCACAACAAGAAACTTGATTATCGAAATGGTAAATGGTAAAATGGAATTAAGTATAAAAATGCAGACATTGGCCACAATTGGCATCATTCAATCGTTTACTGTTCAGCTAAACACAACAGTTAGCTTTACGTTCTTCTCTCCTCTCTTCACGTAGCTGCAAATACTCGCGTCTCGTGCACGGATCGTGCGGCATTTACAAAGTAATAAAACAAGAAAATTGAAACAAATTTGAAAAAATTCAAAAAAAATTAATTTATTTCAAAAAAAAAAATATTTAAAAAAACATATAAATAAACAAGCAATAATTTCGTAAATCAAAAGAATACATATATACATATATATATATATATATAAACCGTTCAAATTTTGCTCTATATAATCTAGCGTGCAATGGCAAAAATTATTAGTTCTCTATTATAAAGCAACGGATTATAACCAACCGAAAAAATCATAATTTTTGTGCTCGAGTTTGTTTCTTAAGTCTTTTGTTTTTTTCTCTTCTTGTTTGCAGTTCCTTTCGCAAACGTAGAAATATCGTAACAAAAGTGTTTAAAGGATTGTGAATTTGCTGTGTGCGTGAGGATACAACACATAAACATAGCATCGCAGGATATCAGGCGAAGGATTTTGAGTTTAGTACATTTCAACTTTTCGTTGTACTAATTGTGTGTTTAGGATGAAGCTGCTGGTATGTATGAGAGCAGTGGTGCAATCAAAAAACCAAAAACAATAATGAGAAATTTAAAGGACTACATTTATTTGAAAAGTGATTTAATGAAAAGCTAAAGAATTTTATTATTTGTGCTAAGAAACTATCTGCAGCATTTATAAAGAACTGAAAGTAATTTTGTGATAATTATGACAAAATAGTGAAACTATTAAAAACAAAATATTTTAGCAGTTATTGAAATTATATTACGAAAATAATTAATAGTTTTATAATTCAATTGCAACAAGAAAGTGGGACTTATATTATTTATAATTGTGAAGCAAAAAATTATTATAAAAATCTTTGAAAAAAATCGACTTCAAAATTTCGATTAAAATTTGAAAACTAAAAACTGTTTTGAAGTAGCTGAAATTGAGGTGCCATAAAGTGCTTAACAAAATTTAGAAACAAATATATTTTCTATAACTCTCCTAAATATGTTTTTAATAATAATAACAAATAAACTAAAGCAATTAGGTATTTAAAAATACTATTTCACTGATTAAAAATGTTACAGTACTCATAACCTAAAATAATATAAATCAATCTGGTAAATTCTTTTAAATTTTTTTTTATAATTGAGCATTTCTAAATCTTTTCCAACACCTCATGTTTACAAACAAATATTAAAAATGTAAGCTTCCATATTGGTTGCATATTACTTCAAGAAAGGAATTTCTTGTTTAAAAAATTATTAAATTTTTGTTTCAGTATTAAAATCATAATGGATATTTTTTTATTTTTATTTTGTTAATCTTTCAAGTATATATTTTCAAAATAGTCTTCATAGTTACAAATAATAATAATTTTAACTTCCATCCCTAATATGTTGCATCTTGCTTCCAAAAAAGAAATTTACTTTCATCTTTCATTTTATTTTCTAAACTTTTTTTTAATTTTTTTACTTTTTTCACAAAAATAATCTTTCTAATATATATATTCAAAATAGTCAGCAATGCATTGAATTTAACTCTTTTTCAACACTTCATTATTTAAAAAAAAATAATAATAATTTTGGCTACGATCTCTAATGCGTATGTTGCATTTTTGTCCAAAAAATTTTACTGTTTAAATGCTATTAAATATTTGATTCAGTATAAAAAGCTCAGTAGAATTAAAAAAAAAGGTTTATTTTATATTTTTAAATTTTCGTTTTACCACAAAAATTGTTTTTCCAGTAATAATTCAAAACAATTAGCAAATAAATATAAATAAGAAATGCAATTTGTAAATTAGCTCACAACATATTTTCTCATTAAAAATTTAAAAAAATATTTCTTGGTTAATAACTTACTAATCTTATAATGCTTTATTCTCTTCTAAACTTAAATTTTTCACTCCTCAAAAACTGTCTTTTCTTTTCTTAATTTAAACTTCTTAAACTCAATTTATAAATTTAACTTTCTTTAAATCAAAATATTTTGAAATTCTTTATTTTATATTTCATTTGTTCTTTTTTTAAAATCTACAACTTCTATACATTTGTCTTATTTGCTTTACTTCTTATTGCATCCTTTTTATTTTATTAATCTCAACCTCAAAATCTTTTCTCATTCTCTCTTTTCTACCTTCTATCCTACTCTCTCTCTCTCTCTCTGTATTTTTTGGTCACACTAACTCTCTACTCAACAGCGTTCAGCATCATTGCTCGCCCTGGTGCTGCTGCTGGCCATCAGCACGCGCGCCGAAGACGAAAAAGCTGTCGAAACCAAGTCCGCTGAACCTGCCAAGGAAGGTGCCGAAGAATCCTCCGCACCTGCTGCAGCCGCCGATAATAGCGACAGCACCAAAACCAAACGTGGCCTACATCACTTCGAGGACTACCATCATTCGTACCATCATCCGATTCATGAGGAAAAAACATTGACCATCATTAAGAAAATACCCGAACCATATCCAGTTGAGAAGCATGTACATGTGCCAGTCGAGAAACACATACCCGTACCGATTAAGGTGAAAGTGCCCAAACCATATCCCGTGGTCAAGCATGTACCATATGAGGTCAAGGAAATCGTTAAGGTTCCACATGAAATACCAGCACCCTATCCAGTAGAGAAGAAGGTGCCAGTACCCGTGCATGTGCACTATGACCGTCCCGTGCCAGTCAAGGTTTATGTGCCCGCACCCTACCCAGTGGAGAAAAAAGTGCACGTCCCAGTTAAGGTACATGTACCCGCACCATACCCCGTTGAAAAGAAGGTGCACGTGCCAGTCAAAGTACATGTGCATGTTGACAAGCCATATCCCGTTGAGAAGATCGTACACTATCCAGTCAAGGTACCAGTCGAGAAACCAGTACCCTATCACGTTGAAAAGCCCGTACCATACCATGTTGAGAAACCAGTACCAGTGCCAGTAATCAAAAAGGTGCCCGTCCCAGTTCATGTACCTTATGACAATCCCGTGCCAGTCCATGTTGAGAAACCAGTACCATATGAAGTCAAAGTACATGTACCCGCACCTTATCCAGTCATCAAGGAAATCCCAGTCAAGGTTGAAAAACATGTGCCCTACCCAGTAAAGGTGCCTGTTGAGAAACCAGTGGCCGTTCACATTGAGAAACACGTGCCCGAGTATCATGAGAAACACATCTCCTACAAGGAACCCGTTTTCGTGCACAAGGAAATCCATGAGCATGAACCCGCACATCATGAGGAATATCATCATGAGGAAAGCCACCACGATTTCGGTGGTCATGAGGTGGAATCATATGGCGAATACGAACATGAGGAGCATGAATACTAATATGGCAAATCTATACCTCTCTCTCTCTCTTACACACTCACTCACATACACACAAAACAAAATGCCTAAATGCCTTTTTGCCTTTCGCTCCGTCAACGTCAACTCCGCTACACACACGTTTGCTCCTTTCCCATCTCTCTCCCTCTTTCTTTTATTACAGCATTGAGAAAATGTTAACTGTGAATGGCTTGATTGAGAATGTGCGACGGAGATGTTAAGACGGACCAGCGTGCAAGCGAAAGGGATGTGAATTGTTGCGAGTCGATCGAATGAGAGTATAAGAGGAAAAGTGAGAGGATTGAGACGACCAAACAAACAAAAAAGAGGACATCGTAACCGCGTAATCGTGATAATGGAACGTTTTGGAACTCGAATTAGGCGAAACGTTTTGGAATTTGAGAGACACGTACTTTACATAAACATACATAAACATAACTGATCTTTTACCAATAATTACAACTATTATTTTCTTTTGTACATATGTACATACATATGTGAATGCAATCAATGCGATTTTAGTTTAAGTCATAACCTTTTTTTTTTAATTTTTAATTTTTGATTTTTGTCTGTGAAGAACTCAATAATTAACAAATCTTTTTACATTCATACATATAATTATTAGCTCATAAGTGTTTTTTTAAGCAGTTTTCAAGTTGTACAAAAAGGAATATATATATATTTATATATATATAACACAGTATTCCGACCAACAGTGATATTTGGCGCATTTGAGACACGTCCAACAGGGTGGGGTTCCTGTGGTGACACGGCCAATCGCGTCCTCCTTCGCCGCCGCACAATGCCAGCACAACAACTACGCTTTTGTAAGTAATACACACACGGCCGTGGAAATATTACGGATATTTCGGGTTTGGAGCAGTTGCAAACGTAGTAAGATTGCCGGTGGCGGCGTATGAGTTCCAGTTATAAGTGATATATTTAGTATGTTAAATGATCTTGTTGTCGTTTTGTAGTGATTTACTCCCATTGGAGGAAATACAGCAGTAATTGCTTGTATAAATATTGTTAACATTGTATTGTATATATATTTGTATTTGTAGTTATGTATGTAAAGAAATTAATGTCAGCTAATGTGAATGTGTTGGAGACTATCAGTAAATCCAGTATGAGATTCTCTTCGATATTAAGTATACACGCGTATATATATGCATATGTAATTATGCACACTATCATTTATTTAGTTCTCTCTCTCTCTCTCTTCGTTTTAGCAAAGTAATAGTGTTAATCGAGCTGTAATATTGCTATATATAATTGTGTATATATTTTTTATTACATATAAGTAAATATGCAAACTTATCATAACAAAATACGCAAATGATTTATACCTAACTTACATACCTACTACTTATATATAATATATACATATATAATAAACAAACAAGTATATAATGAGAAAAAAACTTAGTTTAAGAGTCGCTCCTTTGTGAGTTAGTGTGACCGTATTGTATTATTTTTATTTTTATATATTTTTTTATTAAATTTTTAGTTTATGTCTTTTTTGATACGAATTCGCTGTACTACGAAAAAGTAAAAATATTGAACGAAAATTATATAAAATGTGTAATGGAAAAAAATTAAATATGGAAATCAAAATGTACTCTTTACCACTACCAAATAACTGATAATATGTATAAAAATGTGTAATTTGTTGATGAAATGTTAAAATGTGAAATATATTAATTCTTCTTATAAAAAACTGAAAAAATCACCAAAGCATTTTTTATTGAATATTTGACTAGAGGTTATAAGGATTTTTAGGTTTTTAATTAAAAAATGCGATTTTTGGATTTTTGATAAAAAAAAAAAATTTGATAAAATTATTCTTAAAGAAAAAATTATTTCCATTTACAAATGCTTAAAATTTCGAAAATATTCGGAACTAAATATCAACAATTATATAATATAATGAAAAAGCTGATAAAACTAGGCAAAGAATATTATTCTTAGAATATTTAATAAAATTATTTATAAAAAATTAATTTTTTCTATTAAAGGTGCTTAAAATTTTGAAAGAGAAAAAGCTGACAACATTAGGCAACGAATACTATTTCTGGAAATTTAATAAAAATATTATTAGAAAAATACTTTTGAAAAATGTAATAATATGATTTAATAAATATTATAAGTGTTTGCCTTTAGCGATGCTTAAAATTTCGAAAAGATTTGAAAGTAATTATCTGCAAATATATAAAATCATAAAAAAGCTGATAACAGTAGGCAACTAATATTGTTCATGGAAAATTTTAACAAATTATTGTTAAGGAAATAGTTTAAAAAAAAATTATTAAAATTATTATTAAATGAAATTTTGAAATTTTGAAATTTCGAAACGATTTGAAACTAATTATCAACAAATATACAAAATCTACGAAAAGCGGAAAACACTAGGCAACGAATATAATTTTTGGAAAATTTAATAAAAATTATTATTAAAAAATTTAATATTTTGCGATTTTTTTACCTTTAACGTTGCTTAACATTCTGAATAAGATTTCAAACAAATTACTATATTTATAAATTTTAATAAGACTGGAATGTGGCTTAGTAAATAATCAGAAATCAATCAACTTAAGGTTTATTTGATTTGAAACAAAGATGTTTTTAGTATTTATAAAGAAAATATTTATATCTTTTGTGTATTCCGGTTAAAAATTTAGTTGATTTTTTTAAACGTCTAAAATCCATCAAAAACAGTTCTTTGGTAGAAGTGTGGAAACAAGTAATGTTTCTTTTTTCTATTGTGTCTTACTCTCTTTCAACTCATTTTTTAGCACAAAATATAATAAGACGTTATTATAAATAATATTATGAAACCCTAAATTTTTTCTTTTGAAATATTTTTTGTTATTTTTTGAGGCAAACCCGAAGAATTTTAAAACAGAATTTACGTATTTTAAAATATATATGTTTACTGCTTTTTATATAGCATTTTATTAAAGTATCTAAGTTACCCTTTTAATAAAACAGATGTTTTTGCTTGTACTTTGTAGAAATCTTACGAAAACTTAAAAAAATTTATTATTTTTAGAATAAAAAGCAAATTATACGCTATTTTTTGTAATTAATCTTATTAATTTATAGTTAATTTACTCCTTATTTCAAAATATTTTTTATTTATTTTCAACTTAAAGGTAGAAATATTTCGAGGTTTCCTACTTTTTTTTATGAAAAAACACAGTAAATTCAAATTTTATAGAGAATGTCTTTCAAATATTGTCTGCGGCTACGTCTCAAATGGTCTATCCGTTGAATCTAATTTTCGATGCCTCTGGCATTTCGACTGGTAGCTGATTGGTAAGTGGCAAATGGGAAGCGTAATGTTTTGCTCCATAGGCTGGACCGAATCGACATTGTACGCATAGGCTTTAAACTATACATATCTCAACAGAAAAAAGTCTAACAGTGGCCGATCGACCGCCCCAAAACCTGATATTATCTGCTCCCCGAAGAGTTCTCGCTACAAATCTATTAATTGATGGGATGTATTGGCTACCTCCAGTTGATATCAAATTCTGCCCAGTTCATGGACTTCTATTTCACGCATCAAATACCTGGTAATCATGGCGCGATAACGGTCACTATTGTCGATTATGTTCTAACCGGACTCATTTTTGAAGAAATATGGACCGATGATTCCACCGACCCATAAACCACAAAAAACCAACGTTTTTTTGCTTTTTGCTGCAAAAGCAGTGATTTTGCTTGTTTTTATGCCCGTATAGCTAGAAATGGCCTCATTGTTGAAGAAAATTTTACGCGAAAACTTCGGATCTTCTTGGAACTTTTCAAGACCATTTAAAAAAGATCAAGCCGCTTTAGTTCTTGGGCTTAAAAAATTAACATCTTAAAGTAAAATTCGCCAAATCGTTTCATACGTCAATCGGGGTTGCTGCGACTCTCCACGGTCTTCGTTTACATTCTCAGCTACGGCCGCAATATTTCCTTCACTGCGTGTTGGACTTAGACTATTCTACTTTGATCACCCGTTAATTACATAGCAGCACATTGCTATTTATTGTTGTAACTTATTTTAATGTAATAATAAAATTATTCAGTTTAAGAACTATTTATTGTTGAAAAAAATAATAATTTGAATAAAAATAATTTGTTAATATCATCATTACTTTTATTTTCTCTCTCTCTCTCTCTATATATATATATATAGACACATATATATTACATAATGCTGGTTTCAAAATAACTTAATTTCAATGCAAAAAACTACTCTACTTTGTTGGAAAATTTTCAGTTACGGTTGTGTCTTGTCAAATATTTGAAAACGTCTTTGTTTTCTTATTTTACTTGCTCCAAAAATCGCCATACCTCCCTCAAAAAAGTATCTCTTTAGTATAGCTTTTAAATATTGTTTTTAAATCCTCCATTTTACAACTACGCATTTGTGATGAAATCAGATATGCTCAACAAAGGCAACGAAATTATTCCGTTTCGCTTACAAGAAAAATATTTGTTTCGTTTCTTCGGCATTTCGTTAACTTTGAAGCCGCACAAAACTCATCGTTAATGCTAATTTTGAAATGATTATGATTTAACAGCATACTACAATTTTAAGTTTTAACATTATCTTTTAACGGCTTAACACTAATGACAAGCTTTTCTTTTCCGTTGAAAACGAGATAAAATTTATTTTTTAACTGCTTTAACGTTAATATTACCAAAATGTTTCAACCAAAACGATATAAATCTTTCGATTAACGTAAAACCATTATGATGCAGCATTCAATGAGACAGATATTTTAAATATAAATATGACACTCTGTCATAGTGCTTTCTCCATAACTCATCCAAGTAAACTCATCAAAACAACAAGGAAAATCCTCACTTAATAATAAGCTCATAGCTAGACAGGACAAGTTCTAGACGAGCCCTCTGTACTCGTCATACCTGATGGTGAATTTAAAAAATACAAATATTGATTTTGTTTAATTTCGATTTGGTCAAAAGGTTATTGTGCGGCATGATGACAATATAAATTTACATCATATGATTCTGACATATGATACTCGTTCTGAAGAAATAAGTGGTTTAACTTCTGATATCTCATTTATTTATTATTGTATATACGAGTATATACAATTGTTCAGCGAAAATGCGTAGGAATATCATATTTTCGAAATAGTCTAGCCGCCAATATGTAATAATTTTTACGCAACCTCTTTATATCCGCTATACCCTGCAGACAACTGAAAACGCGACTATTTCATTCAGACGTGAAATATAATATATATTCCATGCTGATTTCGAATACAGTCCGGTTTGGTCATATATTGAATTTATTAGTAAGACTTAATATTTATCATATAAAGTTATAATATTGGTTTTCTATTATTACTAATTTTTTTTATTAATAAACATATTTTAATTTGCAACTGTGCTCTTTTTGCATTGGATAATTTTACCTTAACTTCACTCTTTTTTTGTATACGACTATAAATAGTATTGCGCACTTACAATTTCCTTTGGTAATTGTGTTTATTAAAACAAGAGTAATCCTCGGCTTACAACAAGCTGGTAGGGAGACGTGAGATGATCCAGTAGTAAACTGCATGGGTGTACCTATTGGGTTACTCTAATGGACCATATGGGCCACAATTATTTGCAGGGTATATTTGTGTATATACATATACATATAGTATAATATACACACATATTATATAAGTACACACATAAATACTCGAAAACATGGCAATGATTTTTTCATTTCATTTTTACCAAGTTTTGCACGATATTTGCATAGACACATATATATGTATATGTATGTATGCGCTCACACTTAGCTAAATATTGTTAACTTTATATACACTATACATGCACATATAACACTCATACCGGTACCGTGCCACATTATGTGGCAATAATGCTACGCTATTAAGTTTCTTTGCCAGCTAACGGAAAACCAACGAAAACAGACCGCGAATGAGTGCACTTATTTTATAATCGGCGTTGCTGTTGTTGTTGTTCTTGTTGTTGTTATTGTTAATACCGTTATTGTTGCACGAATTTTACTGTAACCATTAGTTTCTAGATGCAATCACTTTTAAGTGTCGGCAACAATTGATTTCTTGTTTGTGTTGCAATATATAATATGTATGTATGTACATACATAGTGATTGCTCTATTTGAATTTCGGTTTTAGTTTCATTAAATGCACTGTGTAGCTGGATATTGATAGATGTAAGTATGTATGTCTTATTAGAGGTTTGTGTTGATGTCACTTTGCTTAGAATGATCACCTGTTGGGTCGTGAGAATAACTGTAATTTAGATATGTAAACTGAACACCACAATTGAAATAAATTATAATTTTCTCACTGTATTCCAATAATCATTTTTTATTTTTTATTATTTTTTTAATTCAGTAAAACTAAGTAATTTTTATTTAATTTCTAATTTGTTTTTATTATTATTTTCAATTTTTAAAATTTTTTTCGATTCAAAAGGGCGATATATATACATATTTATACCAAACAATTTAAACCTTTTATTTTTTTGTATTTACTCCTAGTTTAAATTACATTGCTCTAATAAAAAATTTTCTACGGTATTAAACTTAGACTAAAAACATATTTAAATATTTTTTTTTATTGTTCAGCTTATTGTTCTCATATATTTTCCAATTAATAGCACATTCACAT